TGTCCTGGTAAAATAGCCCCTTTGAGTTAACCCCTGCCGTCCTTACCCAGGCAAAACTCCCCGTCATCCATTGCCTACGCAGACATGGTGGGCTCGGCAGGTGCTGTTGTCTTCCCCTACACAGAGGTGTGTTTGTAGGGCAGGATACGTAAGGTTTCAGGGCTTGTCTACATGGGGAAATGAGAGACTCAGGTGGAAATTTAAATTGCTGTAACCCCTGTGTGGACACACTCATTCCAGTATAAGAGGCCTTTTTGGAGATGTTATCTTGTACCTGTTTGGAAGGGATTTAAGACAAAGAGGGGAAAGCCACCGTATCCTGGAAAAAGAGTATTCACATGGAGAGCTAGCTGGGTTTAACTATATGTGTGTGGTTGTGCTGGTGTAACTGGTACAGCTGTCCCATGTAGACAAGCCTTTGGCTTTCCTTCTGTAATAACACAGTGGAGTGGAGGCTCTGTTTTACTGCAGGATAAGCCAGGTGCGGCCAGCCCCAGGGGTATCACCCTGGACTCACCTGGCCACCTAAGGGCCTTGCCTCCGCTCAGGATTTTACAGGGAGATAACAAGGGGTGGAGCTGGAAGGGGTAAATTCCAGCCCCAGTGGGACCCGCACCGGCTCTGATCTGCTAGCGGACTTAGAACAGAGAGGCGCCCTGATGGTGGGCTTGGCGTCTTGTGCTGCTCCACCTCCATCCTGTTTTTAGCCTGCTAGCTGGATCAGAACAGATATGGGGGTGGGGAGTTACACCTCCAGGTGGAGAGGCATCCTGTGGGTCAGAGCCGGGTGCTTGTGTTTTAATGAGATCGCTGAAGCACTGTAGCTATCCCGGTAAAATGCTACTTGCCTCAGTGATCCCCTGGGAGAGACCTGCCTTCTTCTCAGTGGAGACATAGCCCTAGTGTGTGTCCGTCTGAACTGGGGAGGGGGAGCTCTGGGGAAGTCATTGCCTCTCTAGGCTGGAGCACTAGCAGGGCAGCTGCAAGCAGAGGTCCCCTGGCTTCCCAGGGCTGATGCGGAGAGCTGACCTGATGCACATGCTGCCCACTCCCCAGTGCTCTTTGCAATGCCCACTGTAATGAGATGCTGCCTATGCAAAAAGAGCGCGGGTTTAAGACTTGTGCAGCCTCACTTTGATATATATGTTCCTTAGGTTATAAAATCACTAGTCAGTAGATAGTCACGTCTAGTCCAGGAGAATACCCTGATTCACTCTATGGGAGAAATGCTATGGATACTGACCAACAATCCCTACACATCCGCCTCCATGGTCATTATGCACAGCCCAGATTCTGACCACCAGAGTAAAACTGGAGGATTCTGCTGAGGTCGGGGGATACTCTGCATTTCTTCCCTGCAATTGCAATTGCTCTGCAGTGGGGATCAGACACTGGCTCACACAATCTTTCATAAAGGTTGCTTGTGATAAGGATTTTCCTGTAATTTCCTTCTTGGAGAAATGGTGGCATCCCCCAGCATTGTGCCCCAGGGTTTGTTTGAGGGTAACTGGAGACGAACATCAGTCAGTGTCTAGTGTTTGTAGATCAGGTGCAGTTTTACTGGCTGCCTCTTTTTTGACCTTCCCAGACAGCAGTTTAAGGAGCTTGCAGCTTGTGCGGGATTCAAAGCCCCTTTCTGTTCCATAGCCTTTAAGGGCAGCTTTGTTTGGGTACTGAGCTGTGCTGTGTAGCAAAACAAACAGAGATGTGGAAGGCAACACTGGATCCAAAACTCCTTCAGACGCTGCGCTGGGAAATTTGGATCTGAACCCAGATCCTGCGCCAAACTTCATGGATCAGCTTCCCTCAAAGAGCTCACAACCAGCAACTGAACAACTGTCCAACGGGAAACGGTTTGAAATCCTATGAAAGTCCCAAGGCCCCAGAGATGCTGCCCCCGACTCTGTTATAGTGTGCAGACGTTTCAGGAAGGAGTCACAATTTCAGCTGTGTACACACTGGGGGCTGGATAATGCAGTCCCTCCAGACCTCAGTGGGAGCTCAGCCTGGGGACAGAGGTCAGGATCAGCCCAAGAGTGAGCTGGGCTGTCCTGCATACAAATCTGCTGCTGAATTTTAAGCTCAGGGCCTAGATATGGTCCTGCTCCCATTGAAGTAGATGGCAAACTACCCATTGATTTTAGCAGTATGGAATTGGGCCATGTAGAGCATGGAATGACTCATGACCGGGTGTCCTGAATGGCTGTGATTGTGTCATGTGCAGGAAGTTCAGAAGGATCCGAATCCACACTGTTGATGCCCTGTCTCCCGCTGCAGAGTACCTAGTCTGGGAGCAGCCCTCTGCTAGCAGGCACTCGGCAATGTGAGTACAGGCCAGGCCGTATGGCAGGACCCTGGGAAAGCTCCCAAAGGCCCTGGCATACGCTGCCTCAGATGATGGGATCAGTTCCCAGCCAGGAGCTTGCACCTGGGCAGAGCCCCTTGTTTTGATTTGGACTCCTTGGAATTCCTGGCTTTCTGCTGCCTACCTTCTAATCTGGCCTCAGGTCAAAATCATTTGGCAAGAATAACAGAGCAGACAAGTGCCTCACTCTTCTATCCTTTATCTCATCTAATTACCAGCAGCAACTCAGGACAATTGAGTGGCTCCTTATTCTAATCTCTTCTCCATTTCTTAGGGTCCAGTTTCTCACCCCTTCCTTTGTCTTCTAAAATCACAAGCAGAAGGATTAGAAGGCCCGGATGGGAACGGGAGAGGGTTTTGACACACTGCTCCAAGGCCACAGCTGTTCCATGGCTCGCTTCATCTATATGTTTTCTTCATGCCTATCTAGGAGAGGAACTGTAGGTGCCACTGGGCTGCAGGTTGGCACCACTGCCAAGAAGGAACAAGTAAATTGTGTCCTCTCTATTTCTGCATCCCACAGAGAAACCCGTCAGCCTGACCTACCGATGCCCCTGCAGGTTCTACGAGAGCAACGTGGCTAAAGCCAATATCAAGCACCTCAAAATCCTGACCACCCCGAATTGCTCGCTGCAGATTGTGTAAGTCTCCGGGTGCTTTTTAAGGCCTTCCTTGGCCTCAGACGGTAAGCTGGGCAAGGAAGGGAGCTGAAGGATTTCGCCAACCTCTGTAAAAGGTGCCAGTCTCCATGCACTGCCCCAGCCTGGGTTTGAATTTGCATGGGGCCCAGCACCTTCTGCAAGGTACGGAGCAGAGCAAGTAGAACAGTTTCAGTCAGCACATTTCCTCAGCGGGAAACGGCTTTTTAACAGTTTTCAGAAAAAAAGAATTCATTTTTATTGATGTGGGGAGGGGGGTTTTCAGAAAAAAAAAACCACAATGGAAATTTGAGGGTTTTCATCAAAAAAACGAAAATCCAAAAAAGAACAAAGACAAATTTAGATTATAAAAATGTAAACATAAAAAAAATAGTTTTTGTTGAAAATTTTCATGGGGAAAAAAATCATTTCCCCAGCAGCCCTAGTGCTGAGTAGCCTCAACTCTTGTGGGAGGCCTGATTATCAGGTCCAATCCTCTGTGCTCAGTTCCTGCTACTGTCAACAGTTTTGCTGTGGATCTAGATCTCTGCATGGCCTTTTAAATTGCACCATCAGAGCTGTAAAAAACTCTCCACTATTGCATGCCAAAAACCTGTGAGGTTTCATGTGATTTCTCAAAAATCCACATATTTAGTCAGATTTATTTTCAAGTAAAAATATATATATTAAAAAAAATATCCTACCCACACAGTTTCCTGCATGTACCCCGCCTTTCATTTTGGTGGAGGACAATGGACAATTCAGTCCAAACTGAGAAATAATTTTCTCTTCCTGAAAATGGCATAAACATGATGTGTTGTGTGTTTCGCCAGCTCTGATTGCTACTTGATGGAACGGAGAGGCATGCATCTAAACAGCTAAAGTACATGGATTTGTGTTCTTCTGGGAATGCCTAATACACATCGTGAGAGTCAAGAGAAACCCACTGGGAAGGCTTTGGGGGGATTTGGAATGATCTGAAGTAGTTTAAACATAATGACAGAAATTTGAGATTTGATGTGATATGCATTTTTCTCTTGATTAACATGAGAGCGAAGTAATTAGAGATGGCAAAGACCATGATGTATTGAAATGGAAAAAACCTGTTTTCTTTCCCACTGACATGGTCTGAATATGTTTATGATCTACAGAACAGATGATCCAACCCCCTCCCCCTTGTTTAAAATTTGACATAAAAGAGATGTACCCGAAATGGAATCCTAAAATCAAATGCCACAGAATGTTGGGGAATTCTGCCCCTTGGATCCAACAGAAATTAAAAAACAAAATAAATGCTAACTTCTAAAAATCCCATTTTAGCAGATTTTATCCAAACATTGAATTCCGTTGCTATGTGGCATGATGTGTTCTGGATGGTGGATGTGAGTACTTTAAATAAGTAATCAAAGCTGTTTACTTTGAAATCCATCATTTTTTAGGACTGAAACATCTAATTGGAACCCCATATTATGGATTTATGAAGTGATCCTGTGGCTTTTTTTCCCCCAAGCCAAATTCCCTTTGAAGTCAAGGGCAATTTTCCCTGAGCAAATTGTATAGGAGCTGGTCTTTATCTTTAAATACTCTGTGCATGGAGAGTGGTTGTTTGTGCTTTCAGTTTGTTACTCTCCTGTATAAGGCCAATTCTGCAGTTCCCATGTGAAGACAATGAGTCTGACTCTGCTCACACTTTGCACTGCTATACCTTCACTGATTTTGGTTTACACTGGTATAGTGATTTACACTGGCATAAGTGAGATCAGAACCAGGCCCAATGGAAACCTATTGGCGGAAGGACTGCAGGATCGGGTCCGCAGGAGTACGACCAGTACATGAGTATTCACACGGCTTCAGAACTAGCAACATTTTAGATCCCCCGGCTTCTTTCATTGGCTTACTTTTTATTAGACATTAAGGCCTCAGTCTTGCAGGTGTGGAGCACTTTGGCTTCAATCCAAGATAGCTCTTAAGCATGTGCTTTACTTAAGCAGCTAAGCAGTCTGGCTCAAGTCAGTGAGACTCGGGTGCTTCAAGTTAAGCGTGTGCTTAAGTGCTTTGTTGGATCAAGGCCAAAGTGCTCAGTACCTGGCAGGATTGAGTCCTTAATGAAGAGGAGAATTTGGCCTGTCTACATCAATGCATAGTAATAGGTGGTAATGCCTCGACAACATATTGCCAGTGCTGTTAGTGTGGCATTGATGGGCCTGATCCAGCAAGATGCTGAGCAACTCCTGCAGATGCCAGGTGCCCTCAACTCCCATTGTGCTCAGCTGGAGGTGAGGGACCTCAGCACTCAGAACAGGTACTCAGCACTTTGAAGGATCAGCACCTGGCTTTACAGAGCTTTAGATGTTCTGGATAAAGTGCTCTATATCTTGTTTCTACCTGACACATCCCATTGAACCCAGAAGCCATTGACAGATGAATTTCCAGAGGCTGGGAGATGGAGTTTAGTTCAGATAAGCATCCAGAAGATTGGATCTTTATCTGTAACGTTTGTAATCTAAACCTCCTGAGTCTGCAAATCCAGGCTGGAAATTTCATGAGAACAGGCTTTCTCAAGAGATTTCTGGAACTTCCACTTCCGGGGCCGAGTGGAAAACACATGAGAGACTGTTCCTCTCTGGCAACTTGGCGTTTCCAGTTCTTTCCCTGCCAGAAGTTCAAACTCATGTGAGAATTCAAAAAAAAAAAGAAACAGAAGAACGTTTTGGAGCCTCTCAAAAGTCCAGTTTGGTTTCTGTTCTAAAATTGGGTGAAAGTTCAGAGTCGGGCTGAGCATCGGGCAATGTTCAGAGGTGTTTGTTAATTAATCTGTTGCAGAGACTGCGTATGCTCATCAGTTCTTTCCAAATGAAATGCAGCTCCCACATGGCAGCAACACGGATGCTAATAATAAAATCCGGAGAATCAATTTATTTCCTCATTCACGCCCATGCAACCCAACAGCTGCCAACAATGAGATTCAGATGAGGGGCTGAATTATGCTAGCCCTTAAAACTGGTGTAAATCCAGAGCATTTCCCGTGAAGTTAGTGGGGTTACCCCAGACTCACCCTTGTGAAGCTGAGAGCAGAATTTGACATCTGGTGTAAGCTTGTGCAGTTCCATTGTCTTCACTAGAAGTCTACAGGTAGAATGGAGGGCAGACTTTGGCCCAGGAGGCCTTTTGTGCAATGTTATCCCTTGTCTTCACACCACAACTCTTCTCTTTCTTTTGACAGCGCAAGGCTGAAGAACAACAGTAAGCAAGTATGCATTGATCCCAAGTTAAAGTGGATTCAGGAATATCTGGAGAAAGCTTTAAACAAGTAAGGCAAGAAACATATGGACTTACAGATAACACACCCTGAGAGCTTAAAGGGTAGGACGTTTAGGGCTGGCTTTAATCATATGGACCAAGTACTCAGTGAAATCAGGCATTGCTATGAAGATGGGATCTGAGTTTACCCAGTGTATATTAAAACAGTGGCTTACAGTATTTTTTATACTTTATATTAAGATATTTGTCAGTATTTGGGGCAAGAGGTATCCTAGCAAGTCAAAAATGGGCTTCCCTCTTTTCTAAAAGAGCAGCTCTCCCAAGGAAAATGCTTCCTTTATTCCCCTCTCCCACACAATCCACAAGTATCTCAGAACCTTTGTTAGTAAAGTATCTCTGGAGCCCCTTCTCCTCTTTGTGCTGGGGTTCTGTGTGCACCGGCAGCTGACGGCTAGTGGGGATTGGCAGGCAGAAATCATGCCTTTGCCATTAAAATTTGCCAAGGCAACATCCATTGCTAACAAACCTTCTCCATTCCTGCCAGATGGTATTCAGCCACACCTGGCGAATTAGCAGGCCTGTTTTTCCTCATGGCATTGCAATGTGGCTCTCCTGCTGAGGGTCCCACACCAGTCAGCCTGGCTCATTAGAAGCCAGGTCAATTGGCTGCCGTTGTGAGTGAGCACAGAACAGAGACTGTCAGTCATTTCTGTGCAAACAGGTCTTTGCAGCCTGCCTCAGATGGGAAATGAATCAAGGGAAGAGGGGAGGGAGCTCCCTGCTTGGGAAGGGCTCAGCCAAGGGACCAGCCAGCAGTGGCCTTTGGAGCAGCGAGGCCCCCTGTGCACGCAGAACCCCTCACCCCTTTCTGCACCTCATTCAGCCATGCGGAATCCCACCCCAGCTGCTGCTTTTTTCGCCGTGTGAGGCAGGGCTGGAATCCAGATATTTGCAGAGGGGAAGAGACACCTCAAGGAGGGAGGGGTCAGGGGCATCAGAGGGGAAAAGGAGGTGGGGTAGGCTGGTGCATTGCAGAGACTCCATCCTCTGCTTTTCTGAAGCGCTTTCAGGAGCCAGGAATAAGAATTCTTCCTGGCATGGGGGCTTCGCAATAGCCAGGGATGGGGGCACCTTCCCCCAAAGGCAGTCAAACCCCTTTGGGACTGGGGTGAGGCTACAGAGAGTGGGGCGCATGGAAACCACTACGCAAATCACTAGCGATTCCAGCCCTGCCCTGCTCTGTGCCTTCCTTTGCCTCCGGCGTGCCGTCCCGTTGTCCTTGGGCCAACTTCAGTCCATGTGGACAGAGCTTGTCTGCACTGGAGTGGCACTGGAGTTCGGCACAGGCGATGCTAAGAGCAGAATGTGGCCTTTCACATACAGGTAGCTCCACCTGCTGTCAAGCAGCGTTGTGCTGCATTAAGGCCCAAGTTCAGCACGGTACTTAAGCATCTGTCTAATTTGGAACACGTGAGTAGCCCCCTTAAAGACAGCAAGAGCTTAAGTACCTTGCTGAACCTGCAAAGTAATGACCCTGGGTCACCTTCTGCTCTCACATCAGTGGAGACCTGGGTCTGCTCCATTGAGAACAAAGGGCCTATTTCTGGTCTCAGGTCTGATTCTGATCTTACTTACCCTACTGTAATCCTGAAGCTGCTCTATTGAATTCAGTAGATTTACTCCAGATTTACACCAGGGTAACAGATGAGAATTCGGTTCAGTTAAAGCATGTTTGTGTCCACTAAGCTTACAATTGTGGCATGATCTTCATGTTCCAATCAGAAACGCTGGCACCCATGAAATTTCCATGCTCCAAGATCATCCATAGATGATCTGGTCTCGCTCTGTAATATTTCCATGGGGCATGTTTTTGATATATTTTAGTGCACAGCTTTGACTTTTTCAATTACATGTATTTCAGAATATATTTATAGTTCATTAAACAAGTCATATATTTGAACTGAAGCCATGCAAACGTTGGTAGTTCAAAAACTGATATCCCTCCAAACTACTAACAGCCTGTAAAATAAATAATTATAGATCTATAAATGTTAATGTAGAGTATCAATTTCAATCAGCCATATATTATATTTTTTCACTTGTATTGAAATTGTATCAAATGTGACATTACCCTCTCTGCACCAGCAATAAAAATGGCTAATTGTTTCATGATACAACCCCCCAGCTGTATGTGGGAATTTATTTTTCTGGAAAAAAATTAATACATTTTATAGAAGGGTTTCTTGCAAATTGCTTAAAGTTCACTTGGTTTACTTATGTGTCAAGCTTACTCTATGCCGGTGCTTAAATGCTTAGGTCTCTTCCGCGCTATGATCCTGCAGCTATGGGGGACGGAAGGTGTTCCAAATACAGTAGTCTAATACTTGATTTGAAAAATGAATGGGTTTGATTTGATAGTGAAATATCCAAGATGGTTTTCAGTAGAAAAGCATTTTTCTCACTAATTCTGCTTACCCTTTATTACTGCTTTATATTCATTGCACCTTCACGTAATATACACAATTATGTGACATCAGTAGAATATATTAACATTAGGGCTGTCAAGCGATTAAAACAATTAATCGTGATTAATCGCACTGTTAAACAATAATAGAATACCATTTATTTAAATATTTTTGGATGTTTTCTATATTTTCAAATATATTGATTTCAATTACAACACGGAATACAACGTATACAATGCTCACTTTATATTTATTTTTGATTACAGGTATTTACACTGTAAAAAAACAAAAGAAATAATATTTTTCAATTCACCTAATACAAATACTCTAGTGCAATCTCTTTATCATGAAAGTTGAACTTACAAATGTAGAATTGTGTACAAAAATAACTGCATTCAAAAATAAAACAATATAAAATTTTAGCGCCTGCAAGTCCACTCAGTCCTACTTCTTGTTCAGCCAGTCGCTCAGACAAACAAGTTTGGTTACAATTTGCAGGAGATAATGCTGCTTGCTTCTTGTCTACAATATCACCTAAAAGTGAGAACAGGTGTTTTCATGGTACTGTTGTAGCCGGCGTCACAAGATATTTACGTGCCAGATGCGCTAAAGATTCATATGTGCCTTCATGCTTCAGCCACCATTCCAGGGGACATGTGTCTATGCTGATGATGGGCTCTGCTCGATAACAATCCAAAGCAGAGTGGACTGATGCATGTTCATTTTCGTTATCTGAGTCAGATGCCACCAACAGAAACTTTATTTTCTTTTTGGTGGTTCGTGTTCTGTAGTTTCTGCATCAGAGTGTTGCTCTTTTAAGACTTCTGAACGCATGCTCTACACCTCGTCCCTCTCAGATTTTGGAAGGCACTTCAGATTCTTAAACCTTGGGTCGAGTGCTGTAGCTATCTTTAGAAATCTCACATTGGTATCTTCTTTGCGTTTTATCAAATCTGCAGTGAAAGTGTTCTTAAAATGAACAACATGTGCTGGGTCACCATCTAAGACAGCTATAACATGAAATATATGGCAGAATGTGGTTAAAATCCAGAGCAGAAGACATACAATTCTCTCCCAAGGTGTTCAGTCACAAATTTAATTAACACATTATTTTTTTAACAAGTGTCATCAGCATGGAAGCATGTCCTTTGGAATGTTGGCCGAAGCATGGAAGGGGCATACGAATATTTAGCATATCTGGCATGTAAATACCTTGCAATGCCAGCTGCAAAAGTGCCATGCAAATGCCTGTTCTCACTTTCTGGTGATATTGTAGACACGAAGTGGGCAGCATTATCTCCTGTAAATGTAAACAAACTTGTTTGTCTTAGAGATTGGCTGAACAAGAAGTAGGACTGAGTGGACTTGTAGGCTCTGACGTTTTATATTGTTTTGTTTTTAAGTGCAGTTATGTAACAAAAAAAATTCTACATTTGTAAGTTGCACTTTCACGACAAAGGGATTGCATTATTGTACTTGAATCAGGTGAATTGAAAAATACTATTTCTTTTGTTTATAATTTTTACGGTGCAAATATTTGTAATAAAAATAATATACATTTTGATTTAAATTACAAACCAGAATACTATATATATGAAAATGTAGAAAAACATCCAAAACATTTAATAAATTTCAATGGGTATTCTATTGTTTAACAGTACAATTAAAACTGTGATTAATTGTGATTATTTTTTGAGTTAATCTCATGAGTTAATTGTAATTAATCAACAGCCCTAATTAACATCATTGGGAATTGGGAGCCCAGATCTTCTATCTGGCTTTAAAGACTACTGTGTAACCATGCTAGTCAACATTATTAATCTCACATACATTTTGATCGGCACAGCGCAAATTATATCTTTCTTGAAACTGCTAATAACCCGTAATTCCCTTCCCGTAATAATTTACAGCTCAACCCTGGTAATCCATCCTCACTCAAGTAAAGATTTGAAAAATGGGGCCCTTTAGGAGTTAGCAGATCCAAGAAGAAAGAGAGGGCAGAGTAAGCACCTTGTCCATCCATCTAGCATTAGTGTAGCCTAGACTCCAACCCTTCCTTAAGCCTCAGATATTGGAGCTCTCTAAGCTCAGCTGGCCGCTCTGGTACAAACAAGAAAGCTGGTGGGTCTGGAAGAGAGAGGAAAGTAAAATAGAAAAAGATTCCTCTTGAGTCTTCTGGGGGAAATAAGGAAACTTCAAATTCTCCTGTGGCCGGCTGCAATCTTAGTTCTAGCACTTGTCAATCAATTAGTGGCAGCTGTTCCTCCTTTGTAAATAACAACTAAGGATAATAAGTCATGGTCCATATCTCCTGATCTTCTATAAAGCCCTTCCAGTGATTGTGTCACACGCTGGGCCTTTGCTGCCGCCTTTCAGTGTGATCACGGGCAAGCCACTGATGGCCTGATCCTCGGGGGTGCTGAGTGCTCAGCCTTTCCCCATTGACTGCCCTCCTGCCCCAGCCTTTCACAGACACATGCAGCTACACGCTGCTGTGTGGACGCAGTCTGCTTTTCATGCGGCATGCAGCTGCACGTACCCATCACACTGCTGAACGAGGTGTGTAGTGTAGTCAGCCCCATTAATTGGTACTTGTACATTGCTTTGAGATCCTTATATGCCAGATGCTGTAGAAATATTCTGATGGTGATTATTTAGCATGTGGAAATGGCTTGTCACTGGGACACTTTGGGCCTGGTTCTGGTTTACACTAAGGCTCCTTTACCCCACTTTGGCAGTGAGTGCCGGGAAGTGGGTGTTACTGTAATTTATACCCACTTGAAGGCCACTTTACCTTGCCAGAGTGGTGTAAAGGGGTCTTGGTGTCAATGCAAATCAGTCCCTTTGTATCTGGCCAATTTCTATGGCCGTCTCTCTCTATTTTTCTTTGGAGTTAGACCACTTCATGATCCTTATTAAATAAATAGCAGCACCAAGAGACACATGGCCCAATTCGACTGTGTGGTGCCAGTTCCCAAAGGGCAAGGATGGCCCAGTGGGTAGGGCGTTAGTCTGGGAGAGACCCAGGTTCTATTCCTGCTCCATCGCAGCCTTCTTCTGTGATCTTGTGCAAGTCGCTGAGTCTGTGTGCCCTGCCAAATGGGGATAATAGCACTGCCCTGCCTGCCAGCGGGGTTGCAAGGATACATACAGTAAAAGATTGTCAGGGTCTCAGAAATTATGGTCAAAGAGGACTCATTTTCACACTCTTCAAATGGCCTTGTTGCATTTACACTGATTAAAGTAATGCGTTTTCTTCAGTTCAAAAACTACTTAAAGAACCCAGCTTGAAAGTCACAAGGCAGATTTGTCTGACTATTCCCCACTCTGCCGTGGGTGCTAAGAAAGGCCTGTGCGTGCTGTGTATTAGCACCTGCTTATGATAGCACTTGCCAGCAGGAGAGGGTGGGGATTTCACACTGTTAAAAAGAGACCCACCTTTATGTAATGGCATATTCTAAAAACACAGGCCCTTTGTTGGAGAAATATTAGCACCACCAGTGAGCCTCCAATGGGCACTCACACAGTCTGGACTTGCTAATTAACACTGTACACAAAGACGTGAAATACCATATTTCAGCTTTGTTATTTAAAAAATGCAAAACCTTTTAATGTCCTATAGCGTGTTTCATCCCACTTAAAACACCCGACAGAGGAAAATACTTAGTGCTTCACCAGTGCTTTGTATTTCCGAGCCACCCTATGGACATTAGCTGCTTCATTCCCAGGATAAGTGCGTGAGGTCAGTAGATGGAGAAAGTATTATCATCCCATTTCACAGGTGGGGAAACCGAGGCACAGCGAGCCCTGCAGCAAGCCAGAATCGGAGGCAGGCTAAGGATTCAGCTGCTTGTGGCTCCCTGTCTTGAGCTTAGTTTTGTCCTTCTGATAACTAAGTGACAGAGATAAATAACTGTGGATTTGTTATTGATGTTTTAAATGACAAAACCAGAATGTAGGTGTGCAGCGCAGACTGTTACATTGGCCATGTTTCTGGGTATTAAGGAAAGCCACCTGTTTTCTTGGGAATATTAGATTAGACCGAGTGATTAGCTACATTTTGGCAGAGGATTGTACATGTCGTGATGCAGATGGGTAACATTCTCCTCTCCCTTGTGAATGGTGGGTCTTGGCTCCCATATTTTGCTCTCTCCGCATGCACAGACCTGAGATCTCCGGCGCTAGGGAGAGCAGGGTATGGGACTTAAGATCTTCTGTGTCTTTCTGAGAGAAGAAAATTGCTTAACTTTTAGTAACTGTCATGGTTCAAACGAGTGTCCGAGGCTACTGATCGCGGCGAGCTGAGAGCAGCTCTTGTCATTGGGTCTCATCACACAAAGGCTGATCTGCTCAGATAGGTAACAGCAAGGGACAGAATGTGCTTCTGCACAGCTGGCTGGGGTAGGGTTGGGTCTGAAGCTTTTTTAATAGCCTGATATTAACCCACAGTCATCTGCAAAGCTGATCCTCCTCAGATGCACCAAAGAAAGAGCACAGTGAGCTCCTGGGATCTGAGGGACCAGGCTGTAACGGACCACCTCTCCTTGAGCAAATGACCCCAAGCAAATGGTCACTCCCAGCTAACTCCAGGGGAAGGCAGACACCTGCCTGCCATCTGCTCTGACATCCAAGGGGAGCTGAACAGAGCAGGGCTTGGCCTGTCCCCTTTCAGAGCTAGATTCCGCCCAGTGGCTCAGAGATGAGGGAATGGTGATGTACGTCCGTGCAGCACAAGAGCAGCGTGACTTGGCTGTACTGCCTTTGCTCCTTGCTCTCCGCACCATCCCCCTTTGCAGAGCTGTCCCAGTGCCTTGCATTTTGCTCCCCGGGCCAGTTCTGATCATGTTTTAACCCTGCACTATCTCCACTTCCCCCATTCGTTTTTGCTGCATCTCTGTGCGCAGCAGCGTTCCTTGCTCAGGCTTCAAGGTCCAGAATGAGCCTCCTAAGTAGCCCTTTTCCTGCTTAGCGCTGGATACTTTACTAACTATGATCAGCATTACCTGCAAAAATAACCACCAATGCTGGGCTCAGGCTTCAGGGTCTCAAGAGCTCCTCCCTCAGGCACCACGCAGCCAAACTGCCTTTGCTTTTGTCTTGACACACAATGTAGTGGCAGCCCTTATGTGACTAGGCCTGATAACTAAGCTCTTATCCACTGAAAGAAACCTTAATAGTATTTCACTTTGTTCTTCATCAACAGGAGGTTCAAGATGTAAGAGGCAAGCATTGTAAGCCGTCTACAGGATTTCTTACTGTAGGACCCAGAGAGCAGATAACCAGTATTAGGGAATGAATGCATTTCACTGTTATCATGCAGCACAAAGGCAAGGCTTCATGCATTTCCAAAGGCTTTTCTCTCTTTTTTTTGCACAAATTGGCTTGCTTTCACAGTACAATTTTATGGAGTAATGTGTTTGTTTTTTTAAAAAAACAATCTTTTTGTAGTTTGGTTTATCATCTAGCACTGGTGGCAGCGATGAATTTAGACTAACCCTACAGTATAATATCGTTTTCCTTGCCTGTATTATTTAGCAATTGCTGTTAAGTTCATGCCAGCATCCAAGAGTTTTTACCTAGCAGGAGCTGTGAGGTGCAATTTGATGGGGTAATTCTTATGTTCCTATGCTCCCAATGACTCAGCACAAAAAGCAATGCATTTTCCCATTTCTGTAACCAGAGCTTGTCTGCAGCCCTACCTGAGACAGGACACAGGGCAGGAGAGCAACACTGGGGCTGGCCCAAGTCTGCACAGTAGAGCGAGATTTTGCGAGTGTGCGTGCAGGCAAACGTTCCCAGTTCCCAGGCGGAGATGCCTCTGTCTGCCGGTGAAACGATCTAGTATCCAGAGCTCCATTTGCAACAAGGTATCACTCAGGAGACACGTGCCACCTCCGGCAACTCCGCAGGCCTGTTATTTCTTCCTCTTGATTCCCAGCTCTGTAGCCACATATAAAGATGTATGAAATAGGAAACGTAGAGGAAAGGTATCTCAGCGACGGGGCAATCTCTTTGTTACTCTGTGCACTGAGAAATGGGGAAAACCGCGAGTAGCAAAATATCTGTGTGATACCCAACATTGTGTATTAGGTGGGTTTCTTTCGAAGGAATCTTCTCCTTTATGTGGAGCTTGTATTCTGAGCATGCAAGGGCTGCTATACTAAGCACTCTCTTCCGTTGCAAGTAACTTACATGCCAAAGGACCATTCTGTCTGTCCCAGGGATGTCTTATTTTCCACTTTGGTCACTGTGGCAAACTAAGTATTCTCCTCCCTACAAAATGATCGTGCTAGTGCAGGATGTGCTTCTGTGGGCACCAGGTCGCCCCATCAGCTTTGAAGCAGAAACCAAGCAGGAGCTCTGCCTGAAAACAGTGCGGGTGATTTGGTCCATCATTTCTTCCTACTACTTTGGTGCTTTTATGTCTTGTGCACCCGCTTTTGTAGGCATTTGTGAAGTACCACTGACATCAATGGCAGTTTTACAGCTGATTTCAATCGGAGCAAGATCAGACCCTCTGTCATTTGTGTAAAGGCAAAAAGAGCTTACGTGACCAAGAAAACCATAGATTAGTGCATCTTCCATATTGTGTGTTTTATCACCTAGGGGCCAGACTCCCTCCTGATATAGGTGTCTGCAGTTGCCAGTGACGTGGCTGGAGAGTACATACCTGCATCAGAGGCAGGGGTTACCCCCAGGTTTTTAAAGATGTCTTGGAGAAAGTGCCTATTAATTTCTATTCTAACACAGAATTATAATCTGTCTCTCCCACCTGCTGGACAGTGATTCCTCACGCACGTTGTCTGAACTGGGCACCAGCTCAAATCCTGCTCCCATTGAATCCAGTTTAGATTGAAATCTCGCTCTCTGACTCGAGGGGTGCATTTACCACAACAGCGGCCCTTTAAAACCCAAAACCATGTTCTGCCTTCCATGACGACCTCCTTTAAACAGCCCTCAGTGTGAGGACTGACCTCCTGGGTGACAGAGCCAGCCTCAGTGGGTCAGTGCTTAGAGCACTGCATTTGGCTCTCCCCCATGCAGTCTCCCTGCCTTCAGCTATCATAACTGGTGCAAACCTTAGTGTAGACAGACAAAGCCACTGTAAGCCATGCATGGCAATTTCCCCCTGCCGGAGACAAAAACAGCCAGCAAGGCTGGTGCAGCAGCACCGATCACACGGACGGAAGGGCATTGGTCACTTGGAGGGCTGTCCCAGTCACGCAGAGAAGTAGATGCTTTGTGGAAGAAAGGAACATTAATGACCTATTTTATGGGCAAGTTATTCGCTGGGGTCTCTGAGGGTTCTGTTGTTTGCTCTATAGTATTTGCATCAGAAGTGTTAATCAGGAAACAGAAATGACAGACAGGCAATTTACGCTAGAGAAATCAATCCCTGTACAATTGAAAGCTTCTTGCACTAATACTTGAATTGTGGTCCACTTCTAGCTAATACTTAGCCCTGCCATGAGTGCAGGAGACTGGACTAGATGACCTCTCGAGGTCCTTTCCAGGCCTACGACTCTATGATTTTATGATTCCTGTGGCCCTCTGCGATGTTAGCAAGTTGCGGTGCATCGGTTTCATAAATCTGGTTCCGCGGACATGGATCCGTGGTAAGTTTTGCTTTCTACATTTGGCTGTCGACCAAAGACAAATTCAGGGGAAGGAAGCAGGAGCATACAGGAGTAATGCCAGGGCTGGCCACACGTGAATGTGAAGAGGAAGAAAAAAAATAACACTGAAACGGTGCCAAAAGAGCATTTTCCACAAATGTGAAATGTTCACGCGTGGCTATGTTCTAAGTGACAGCCATAGAATCCCAGGTTTAAAAACCAGAAAGGAAAGAAAATCTGGTATTTATCACTGTGCCAATACTCATGTTTATATGAGCTTTACAACTGTAGTAGCTTTAGATGTTGATGTCTTATTTGAGTCCTGCTTGAGAAAGTGTGAAGGGTGAATTTTCAATGTGTTATTAACCGGTGTGGTATTTGAGCAAGGGTGACTGTGGTTGGTCTTTTCCAACGGAGGCTGTATTCCGAGTTGAATGTACACATTTGATTGAATATGCAGTTCCTATAATTTCTTGTTGCTATTTTGCCTTTATTGGGATCTTGACGATCCCCTCTTCTCTGAAAACTTGTACTGATCTATGTCAATTACAGCATATAGGCACTTGTCAGTACTCATACCAAAATACAAACTTAACCTTTACCACCATCCAATTACATAATAGCCTTGTTTGCAAATCCGGATCTTCATTGACCCCAGAGAAGAAGGCATATACATCACCATGGAAGGGCTGCATGCACCCTCCAACCTCTGATCATTGAGAAATCAGTGTTGTAAGAATGTGGTGAATACTGTATTTTGTATTGTTATTGAGGAAAAAAAAACACTTCCCACATAATGTGAAAAAGTTTTTCTGAAAGGCAGCTTTATGGAGATATTATATACATTTGTGCTTTTTAAAATAATTCCTTTTCATATAGTTATTTTGAAAATAAACACTTTTTATATCTATATTATGTCTTTTGGTAAATGTGTATGCACTTATAATTTTCTTAATAAAATTTATACCCAAATGAAATTTGCACTTGTTTCAAATTAGTAAATGATATGTTTTTCCCCCTGCACACAAACAGTCAGAAGGGCATTTACATTGGTTCTTTCTTGTTCTGGTAATTTCCCAGTCTCAAATTAAGTTTCCCTGAGCTCACACAGGCTCAGACTGAACTCAACACGAGATGGCTGCCTGACTCTGCAGACAGCAGAATGCTGAGAGATTTTAAAGTGTCATTATTTTTCTGGATCTGCACTTCTCTAAGGTGTGGGGAGTTTAGATCTGGGGCTAGGCCCCTCTCAGTCCAGGTCCCTTTACTTTTATTCATTCACAGGATGTTTAAAAGAACAACAAACATATATAGGCAAATTATACTCTGCCTGGGAAACATGTTGTCTAATGTCGGGGTGCCAGAGCACGACATGCTATCAGCACATGGGAGCACCAAGGGCCAGGACAACATTCACTGCTCTCTGGACATGGAGGTAATGCCTGCTCTTCCAATGGAGTCAGTTAAGGCATCAAAATCAATGTCTCCACACACCCAATGTCTCCTGGCAGTGCCGCTATGTGTCCTGTTTGTAGTGACGGGAGCGCTGCCTGGCAGAGTTGAGCTTGTAGGATCAGACTCAGGGAGACACTGGGCGAAATCCTATCTCCAGCCAAGTCAATGGGAGATTTGCCATTGACTTCAATGGAGTCAGGGTTGTAACAGCTAAGCTAGACCCCCATCATATTGTATGTATAGTTGGGATTATGTTTTCCAATGAGCAATTCTTTGCAATTATCAACACTGAATTTCATTTGCCATTTTGTTGCCCAGTCACCCAGCTTTGTGGAACTCTTCACAGTCAGCTTTGGACTTAACTATCTTGAATAATTTTGTATCGTCTGCAAACTTTGCCATCTCACTGTTTACCCCTTTCTCCAAATCATTTATGATGTTCCAAAGCAGCAGAGAGGTCCGGGAGGGTGGGGACAAGGTACAGGCCTTGAGGGGAAGGAGATCTTTAGAGAGACCTGCATGAAAGGGTTAATAAGATGTGAAGGGAAGATGTCATCCTGGACGCGGTATCTAAGCCGGTCACTAAGTGGGGAGAATGTGGTGAGGAATGGGAAGGGGGTGAAAGAGACAAATAGATAAGGAAGGGACCAAGCCTGAGCCCCTGGGAGCCGGGGCTGGAGTGGGGGTTGGAAATTCCAGTCAGGACCCACAGCCTGGCTGTGCAGCTGAGCCCATCTCAAAACCTGGGAACTTTTCCAGAATTTATACTATTCCCTTATTTCACCTCCCCCGCCTTGAGCCGCTCCAGATTTTACATGAGACCCAGTGCATGCTGGGAGTTTTAGTTAATGCTCTGCAGACGTGGATGGATGGCATGTGTCCTATAAAGCTGCTATCTATTTATTTGACTGGTGCGTCTTAATGCACTGAGGCAAGAGCCTGCAGCACTGTCGTTAGCGACTACAAATCACACGAGCTCCAATATAAATTACTGCACAAATTTCATGCGTTTCCCTTCCAGCCTTCAGGAGGTCAGCACCTACCACTGGAAGGACGGTGGGGTCGTTCAGGGGACGCTCACCATATCTGCCAAGCCATGCAGGAATAAAGAACCCAGTGCAGGGACAGGACTGAGTGCAGAAAGGAGTCAGAGCCATGGGGGAACGGGCGTTGTTGTCTGTGGGCGGCGTGTCAGCCCAGTCCCCTCCAGCACTGCAGTCCTGCTTGCTCCAGGAGGGCAGTAATTTGTGCTGGTCTGTGCCAAAGGGGGCGTTTCCCCTTGCACGCTAGTAACACAGGGACAGCTGGCAAAGCCTCACAGAACTGAACGGAGCTTAGCCCACCCCACAGAGGGAGCCTAGTCACTCGCTCTCATACAGGGGCTGTGTTTAACACCCCTCCGCCCACATAGAGGTTTTAACTACCCCCTCCCCCCCACACCCCTCATACAAATCTTCTCTGGCCCCCATTACTTCAGTATCCCAGCTCTCCCCGATGCTCAGGGCACTGGTCCGCACACACCTCGGGGAGGTAGGACAGTGCTATTACCCCCATTGTACAGAGGGGAAACTGAGGCCCAGATCCTCAAAGGTAAGTAGGTGCCTAATTCCCATTGACATCATGGGAGTAAGGTGCCTAAATCTCTTGGAGAAGCTGGACCAGAGAGACTAAGTGCTTGTCCCAGGTCACACAGGGAGTCTGGGAGAAAGCAGGGACTCAGATCCAAGTCTCTGGCTAGTGCCCTAACCACTGAGCTGTCCTGCCTATCCCTGGTGTCTTGGTTAATTTCTCCAGTCCAAGATTGCTTTTACATACCCACCCACATACTTAGATATTTGTACATGCACCCCGGATACCAGTTCAGGGTGTTACACTCCTTGCCATATAGGTAGGCATTCTGTACCCTAACCCTAACCCTCCCCTCATGCTGGGATTCTGTCACTTGCCCCCATATATGGGTTCCCCTCCATACCAAGAGGGTTATTTTAAACAACCCAAACCAAGCCCCATATTTTCACACCTCATAAATATGGGTGTTTTAATAAACTCCCACTCATTTTTGGTTTTCTTTTTATTCTCCTTCCCCCCCTTACTGGGATTTTTTTTAAACTTCCTCTGTCACATGGGGGAAGGAGGTGGGAGAATAAACCCCCCTGGTTGATAGGGGAGTAAAAATAGTACCTGATATTCAGGGAGGGTTTAAACACCCCCTTGTGGAGGAGAGTAAAATACACCCGTAACAGGAGGGGAGAACACGACAACCAATACAGGGTAGAGTGAAAAACCCATCAGGGAGTAACAGACCAAGCACCAACAATTCTTCTCCAATCTCCCAGGTATGTGGAGTGTGAGACAGAGAAGGCCTCAACCAATCCAGGCTCCGAGAAGATGTCTCATCAATGAGGAGAAAGTGTGTCGGACACTGGGGGAAAGGAAAGAGATGTCAGAAATGGCATCGCATTGCCGAGCAACCTGCCGCCAGGTCCGAAACAGACAAAGGGATCCAGGGCCCATACACAATGTGTGATCTGCCTCTGACAACAGCATCAGCAACTCCAGATGTTCCAAACCCCTTAATCAGGCCTCAGAATATCATGAGATTGGCTTGAGGATCATGTGTTTTGTAAAACAATGATAAATGTTGGTTGTTCTTTTGTTTCTTTTTGAAAAAATGTTTGTCTTTAAGCCCCGGTTTATATCTGTTCCCCCCACCCACCCCCGGCTTTTCTCTGCAACCAGGGGTGGCCAACCTGTGGCTCTGGAGCCACATGTGGCTCTTCAGAGGTTAATATGCAGCTCCTTGCATAGGCGCTGACTCCAGGGCTGGAGCTATAGATGCTAACTTTCCAATGTGCCGGGGAGTGCTCAGTGCTCAACCGCCTGCTCTGCCCAGGCCCTGGCCCCACTCCACCCCTTCCCCTGAGCCTGCCATGTCCTTGCTCTCCCCCCCTCCCCACCAGACCCTCCTGCGCACCGTGTAACAGCTGATTGCAGTAGTCGGGAGGCATGGGGCGGGAGTGGGAGGCACTGATTGGTGGGGCTGCCGGCGGGCAGGAGGTGCTGCAGGTTGGAGTGGGGGGAGCTGACATATTACTGTGGCTCTTTGGCAATGAACATTGGTAAATTCTGGCTCCTTCTCAGGCTCAGGTTTGCCGCCCCTGCTCTACAACCATGAGGGAAAGACACTTATGAGGGGAGTTAATGAAAGCTGAGATTTTTCACTTAATCACATGACTCCCAGAGCTGGGGCTTTAAGAAAAACACCAAATATTGCAAGGCTCATGATAAAACTGGCAACACTGTGATAGACACCGGAGAGGAGTCCGTCTTTTTCTCACTTGTATACCTCATTGAATTGAATAACTGAAATACTTCCCCCTCTGTGCTGGCTCAGCTTTGCTAGGCTGTGCATTGTGGTTCAGCCCACGCCCCAGCCCTCCCCTCCAGCTCTATGCCGACCAGCTCAGGGCATGGAGTTCATGCAACACCTGCTTACTTCTGCATACTCAGACCCAAGGTGAGGGGCTGGGGTCTTACTTCTCTTGGCACCCCAGTGTGGCTGTGTAGTCCAGGGCATAATCTATGGGAAATAGCCCTACACAGGTGTCACTAAGCGCAGAATTAGGCCTGCAGAACCTTTTTTACTGGTGACGACAGATATGAAGGAATGAACCCAGCTTGACTCTCAGATCCTTGTCTAACCCCACCCACCGCTAACAATGTGGATCTTGGCCCCCCTCGACTGGCTAATCCACATATAGCCATTTATGAGTCTGCCTTACAGTTATGGAAGCCGATAGCTCAGCTCAGCAGTAAAGACGCATGCTTTTAGATGCAGAGATCCTGCAATCAGTCCCTGCAGTGCTGCTGTACAAGCGATAAGCGAGTTTGCTAGCCTGGCAGCTAACAAACAAACATCTTTCTTCTTGTCCACTAGCACATTTGCTCTGGAGAGGCAATAATGGTGGCATTTTCACGGTAAGGTTATGTGTTATGTGTAACGCAGGATGATAATCATAATACCCAGCTGGCATGTAGCTGAGAAAGCAAACGCCAGCTGCTTCAATGCTCTGGATCCTTATGCTTTTTGCTTACGCCATACCCAGGGGCTGGCTTTCCACCCAAACTGGTTTCCATTACAACTGCAAATTAAACATGATTCAAAATAATCAAAGTGCAAACAAAACAACCTCTGGATGCTTGAAAGACTCCGAAGTTTGCTGCTCGCCTGGGTTCCATGGCAGCCTTTCACTTCAGCTCAGGGAATTCTTCATTAATAGAGGTGGGAGGGATAGCTCAGTGGTTTGAGCATTGACTTCTTAAACCCAGGGATATGAGTTCAGTTCTTGAGGGGGCCACTTAGGGATCTGAGGCAAAATCAGTACTTGGTTCTGCTAACAAAGACTTAATGACCTTTTAAGGTCCCTTCCAGTTCTAGGAGATAGGATATCTTTA